TACAAATGTAGAGGACGACGTTTTGAAAGTCTTCTGCCTTTCGTCTTCAAGTGGAAGACTTTCGAAACGTCGTCCTCTACATTTGTAGGTTTCTACAATAGGCAGTTGCTGTCCATTTGAAACATAGATTCATTATCATTACTCTGCCTAAACAACCTATCAAATATTATGTACTATATTGTTTAATAAGTTAGGGTTAGGTTCCTTAATAAGTTGTTCACCTCCTAAAATATTTAGGTTTTATTGAATAAAATTGTAAATTAGTTCTACTTCAAGCATTCGACTATGATCTGCTGTGTTGTAAGTATATTCCTGCCTTGTTTTTATAAAACAGGATAAGACATTGAAGAAAAATCTGAGCAGACTTATCAGTCTAATGTCACTTCAATGCTGAAAGCTATTAATATCAAAAGTTGGTTCTGACTTTATACTTCAGTGATGAATGTTAGTCAATTTGGGTTTATCACATTCTCCTAATTATTTAATCTCTTTTTTAATGGATAATTAATATTCCAAAGCACATGTAGTTACTTGTTAAAAACTTCAGAAAATCTAAATAATACACAAAACCTTCTTGGCAGGAAAGAATTGTTAAATTTTAAACAAATATTATTAAGTGTGGATTTAGAAAGAGGAAACACCTACTTCCTCTTCCCAATCTGAACCAAAATGCTGGGCACGTCTTTCCTCCCGTTCTTTCTCCATGAAGGGGACCAGATATGCAACAGCACGCTTCATCACACGTGCAGATTTTATAACCTGAGGAAGGAACATTTTGCCAGCACCAAAAAGGTCACCTACAATACTCATCCCCTAAAAAATAAAAAAATATGCTACAAATGACTAAAAGAAAATTAATGAACAATATTAACAAACAACTGAATGTCATTACAAATAAAAATGTTATGGTTTGCAACATGTTACTTTACATAAACTTAATTTCAAAGTTGTTAATTTCAACCTTTTCTGCACATCAGCATTCTAAAGAAATAAACAACTTGAAATGAGTAACTGAAAATTTATTTAATAATATTATACAAACTTTCACCACCTAGCAATACATATTCAAGTGTAATCATAAACAACTCATAAAACTTTTTAACAATGCCTTAGCTTTCAGTCTAACAAAGAAATACACAAATAATTACGCATCTCAAAATTAACTTTCCAGAGGACACTACTGAAAATTCCTTTAAAAAAGTATGAGAAAAGATTACTTGTTGTACAATTTCACTCAGTCAACAAAAAATCTCAAAATACAGTAACTGTAAATACTAACTCCACTTTAGGAGATAAAAAGCCATCTCATCAAGGAATGAAATACTGAGTAATGCAAACAGAACAAAGGAATGAAAACAAGGTTCATTCGAAAAACAGGATTAAAAATTGAAGGTTTACCAAGTAAATTTTATGACAACAGGTAACACACCAGCATATCAGTGTGCTAAATTTAATGCAATAATTACCAGTGAATTTATCCAGGTGAAACAGGAAGAACTGGAAAACACGATTTTCTGAACATTTGAAATTTTCCTAACACACTTATGAAAATATACAAAATTTCAACAATAACATCAACTTACAGAACATTAAGATCCTAAACAAGGAAGAAGACTTATGTAAGAAAATGTAAAAGAAATATTAGTAATCAAACAACTGCAATCAATAATGAATGTATATCCAAGTTTTCCTTACACTTATAACAATGGAATCAATGAATGTATATCCAAGTTTTCCTTACACTTATAACAATGGAATCAATGAATGTATATCCAAGTTTTCCTTACACTTATAAC